ATGTTTGTTGTTTCAAGCTATTACTTTAAAACTATTGTCAGGAGCAGGTAGAGGTGTCAGGAAACATCAGCTAATAAATACCAGCAGCCTGTTGCTCAAGCTGTGTGTTAAGTTCAAACTTAGCCCATTTGTATCGTAAATTATGACCAAATTGTGATTTATGCATTGCACTAAAATAAAAGTGGTTGCACCACAGAGGTAAGTAACTCCTAAATATTTACACATGCCCCTCAGGTAGTGTAAATCATAAAATGTCACAGATTTATACTCACTCATGGAAAAAACTGCAGTTTTTGTGCCACACAGCATCATCTTTTTATTAACTACAACACGGTCCAGTAGAGACCTAATTTATTGATGACATTTATTTATGATCATATTTATTCATGATATTTTAATATCAATCTAGCTTACTTTGATGTGCTACGATGCCAAGTGGGTCGTAGCACATTGCCAATAGAACGTCCTCATGTAAACACAGTGTATATCCTGGTACCTAGGTAATATAGATAGATAGATAGATAGATATACTTTATTGATCCCAAGCTGGGAAATTGCAGATTTACTATTTAATACTGGCTAGAATGGGTGTGGATCCACATCTATCCGGGGTTTTATGTTTTATAGTTTCTGAAGAAGACCAAGATGAAGATGTCTAACAACAGCAATCAGAAAAAGGTGTCAGCGCTCAATGCTTGGAGCCCTAATGAATTGGTAGATTCAATAAACTCTCCACATCTCCACATCTCCACACATCCCCGGTGTTTACCAGACCAACTACGTTGTGATACTTTATACCAACAAACCATTGGCTTAGAAAAATGTTTAAGGATATAATCTTTACCCTAATATGACCCAGTGTTTATTCATACTAAGACACAGATACAATGAGCACAGACCCCACTGTTAGAGTCGACCTTTGTTCATCCGAATGACAATGATCAAAATGATCTTAGGTGCTTTTGGAGAACGAGGCCAATATCAATACTGGATGCCTGAAAAGTCGGTCCCCTATTTTGTTTTGCTTAAAATGATTTCAATCGTATTTTTGTCCTGGCGCCGTTGCAACCGTTTATCTGCTGCATTTGTTTTTCCCAACGGTTGAATAACGTCACAGAAACAAAGTGTTTGACGCCGAGGGGGAAGTTGTCAGCACAGTTAGACACACAGCAGTGGAGCTGCCTGCCCGCTCGCTTTGTAACAATAGACCGCATAGAGCTCTGCCTCAGGTCCAGTATAGAGTCTTTCCTCACACCAAAACCAGAGACATAGGAAAGTCTAATGTTCATTTGATGACTTGGCTAAACAAAACATGTTTATACTTCCTTCCCCTGTTGCCAGGCCTCACCTTGAATGCACTTCTCTTCTGCTTTTCCAGCTCTGAGGTGCCTTTATTAACATTAATCACCCCTCCCTTTAACTAAATTGGGGGGCTGTTAATCTAAGTGTATTTTAATGGAACACTTCAGAAGCAACTCCCTCAATTACATCAACTCTTTCCAGCATGGTCCCTATTAAAAACAACCTTTCATTAAGGGCGGGGGAACCCACAGACAGAGAGAGAAACAGAGAGAATTAAGGGAGCCTTAGCTAATCAGTTTCACCTGCCAAAGTGAAAGCATGTACCACAGACTGCCATTTAGAAGTATATTTTATGTCGGACACATGGCTCTGTTTATAAAACATTAAGCTACAATTTTACATTATGGGTACTTATCCGTAGTTAAGGGGAAAATTTGGGGCCCTCCCTGGTTGTGCGTTACTAAATGGCCCCGGTGATGTCACAGAGGTTAAGCTCACTCGGCTTCCCGGTCGGTTTGAATGAATTTCCCCCGTAACTCTAATTCACACAAACAACCGCCTAGAATCAAAGACGGCACTTTGGAAGCTGGGAGCGGAACATCTGCCCACCTCTGAGAATCAAAACAAGAGTGGGACACCACCGAGCTTCGAATGGGCTGATACCATGGAGATTTGGCTGTGTGAGCCACCGTAGAATGTGTTTGTAATTGTGCTGGGGGGTGGGGAAAGGTGATTTGGAACAAATTACAGCTCGCTTTGAAAATTGTGCGAAGGAAACACTTGGGCTGGATAGAATTACCTTTGTTTTGGTTTTGTTTAGAGTGTTTGGGTTTTAGGAAGAATGAATCATTTTTAGCATAGTTTCACAGGTTGTTTTAGTGGCACTGTGCTGGAAAAGCACAAGGGGATACATCGGGGTGAGCATTCCTGCCCAGGCCTGCAAACTTAAAGATCCACTCCACACGTTTTAAAGTATGTAAAAATACTCTGATTCACATTTCCTTTAACATGGTTTCCCCATATAAAAAGTAAAATCAATCGTATCTACTTATACTCTTTCTCCCTCATTGAGAAATTGTGGATCTATGAATGCTGTAGTGAAAGAGCAGTTAGCATCATGATGGCTAGTGTTAGTGGAAACATTCGAGATTCCCTACCTTGGGCTTGGCCCGTCAGACCCACACAAAGTTTGTTGTGCAGATCACCCACTCTCCATCATTCAAATAGTAGGCTTTTTTTTTTTTTTTTTTTTTTATTATATTATTTTACATTGTTGCTCTCTAGCTCTCTCTCTCTCTCTCTTTATTTATTTTCAATAAATACCATTTCAACCATATTGATGTGTATTTTGTAGTCCTTAGATTACAAATTGATGGCCATTTGATTTTCATGGTGTACATTTTTTTTTTTTTTTTTTTTTTTTTTTTTTTTTTTTTTTTTTTCCTTATTATTTTTTTTTTTTTTTTTTTTCCCCCCCCCCCTAAACCTTTAACTTTTTCTATGGTAGGGATCAGGTGAGTCCTGATCCATCCCTTAGTTATGCTGCTATAGGCCAAGACTATCGGGGGATTTCCCATGGTGCACTGAGCTCCTCTCTTCCTCTCTCTTTCTGCACTCATTCATGTCCCATTAATGCATGTTACTAACTTCACTTCTTCCCCGGAGTTCTTGTGCTTTTTCATCTTGCAGGTTCTCATGGATCCTGGTGGAGCCTCCTGCCATGGTCCTGCTTGACTGCCATTGCTAATATCACTAATATTATTATTATTATTATTACTGCGGTTACTGTTGTTGCTGTGGTTGCTGCTCGTTGTCCCCCATCGTTGTTGTCGTCGCCGCCGTCTTCTTCATGTTCATCATCATCATCAGTCACAACTATTAGTGTAGTTGTTGCTACTGTTGTTGCTGTGCACCTCTGTCTGTCTGTCTCTCTCTCTGTCTCTCGCTCTCTCTCTCTCTCTCTCACCCTCACCCCAACTGGTCGAGGCAGACGACCACCCACCTAGAGCCGAAGAATCTGTCCTAGGTTTCTGCCTTTTAACAGGCAGTTTTTCCTTGCCCTTGTCGCCAAGGTCTTGCTCATGGTGGTACTGTTGGGTCTCTGTAAATAATGTTATAAAGAGTTCGGTCTAGACCTGCTCTATTTGAAAAGTCTCCTGAGATAACTTCTGCTATGAATTGGCTCTTTACAAATAAAATTGAATTGAATTGAATTCCCACTAGCCTAATTGTTCTTGCTAGAGCTCCAGAGAGAAGTGTGAGAGAGGAGCTGTAAAAATCTATTGAGATGGCTTTTGGTGCTTAAAACCACAAGTTTATCTTCTTATGGATATCAAAGCATCAAATAAAACACCAGAAGACACATTTCCATCGTTGGATTAGGGGGTTCTGTGCCCGATCATTTCTGTAACTTTCCGAAACTGACGATCCAATATTTACACCCACAATCACACGCTGTGATTGGCCGGTTGTGGAGTTGAGAAAAGAGTCAGTGTTTAAACTTTTCTCTCAACTTTCTTCTTTTATTATTGACACAACAGTTCCTGTTACTTTTCGTGTGAAACTGCTTTTTTATGCAACCAGAACAGTGAAATATCAAAAAACTAAATATTGTGAAACTTATCGACATTTTCTTACACCCCTAGAATATATACTTTCATTTTCAAAAACTCAAAATATTGTTTCTATAACAGCTGCAAACATTGCTCAGATGTGTATATTTGTATATGTTGGGGACTATTTTCAGCAGCGGATTAATACACATTATTATACAATGCATTATTGTTGAAGTATTTTGAGTATTCTGATTTAATGAGCACACTTCATGGTATGTCACAAGTCTTCTACTAGTACTCGGGATTGTGAGTGAGGTCTGTGACTCACTGTTAGGATGGGAAGAGTTTCACATGAGCAGTGAGGGGTAAAGTAATCACTAATGGAGCATATCTGTAATTTTAGTCCCGACCAAATCCACCATATGTTTAATTTTTATGGATTGCTAAATCAGAGTCTGGGTTTTCCAACATATTTGAAATTGCTGGTGAAAGGACCTTCTGCTCAAGTTGCATTTTAAAGTGGTGTTCACACCGAACCATTGCAGACTCTTGTCTAGTTGCCACTTTTCTTCAATCTTGCAGCCAGGCTGAACTGTTATTGTTTGAAGACGTCAGTTTCAATTGTACAAGTTCAGAACGACAGATTGCATTTTCTTGGTGGGAGGGCAACTCATGAATGGAGCAGGCACACTCACACACATTGCACTGCAGTTTTCGGGGACTGATTGCAGTCAACACACACATTAGAATGGCTCAGTCTTTTGGTATTCTGTAAAAGCCTGACTCGTTGACTTGTATATTGTTGGGTCCTTCTGATAAATTGGCCATCAAGTTAAAGTTGATGATCAATTTGCTGGAAGGAATGCATATTGCTGATCTGAGGTTACATGTCAGAGACGTGGGCACTTCAGAAGTACAAACTGAATTCCAAACGTTTGACAGTCTCACAGTTTGTCATTTTCCATCCATATCTACTGCAGTATTGAAGCAAAAGGTGCAAATAATCAATTTTCATCTCCTAAAAATTAGACATCTTTTGTTGTTTGCCTTGCTTTATAAACTCAGAGATGCACATTTTATTTCTAAGGCGTTAAAAACTGGAAAAATCTGGCCATAAAAAAACGGGTTATAAGATAACTGTACCTGGGTCCTAGCTCATCCTCACACCTCCAGGTGAATTCTCCAAAGCTCTCGTAGCGCTGGTTGTAGTGGTAGAGGACACGGTGGAGCGTGGGAGCGCCCAGGTCCATCAGAGTGTTGTAGGCCGTCTGCTGCTCCTTCCCACTGGTGTAACCATTGAACAGGTTATAGATCTTATCAGCTATTTCTGGAATGGAAAACACAATTATGGGTCAACAACTTTAGGCAACACTAGACCACTTCACATACAGTATACAGAGTTTATTTTGTGTGTGTTTTTCCTACAGTAGCCAGTCATAATGGGTACTACTGGATACCAAACGATCCTCATGGGAAGACAGAAAGATCTAAAGTTGGTGACTGAGCTTTTCTCTGGATTTCATTATCGATTCGTCTGCCAATTATTTTCTTCACTTTTTCCAACTTCAGCGGTGTATCTGAAGAGCTGCTAGCCAAGTCTGATAGCTCCTGCAGAGTTTGGTTTTGCGTGTCGTTCTGGAATTTTAGGCGCTGTTATTGTTGTTTTCGGCTTTAAGGGACATTGTGTAGTGTTTTAAGTATTTTATTAGCTAAAAGCTAATTAGCTTCATTCATAAATGTGTCCTCATTGGTGTAAAATGACCTCTGCCAATGATCTGACTTATCCTCGTAAGCAAAGAATTTCTATCTGTATATACATTGGACGGACAAGTCCATGGAGGCTTCCATGTCGTTCCGCCATTTTGAAAAACTATAATCGCCGAGAGGGACATAAAGCACTAGCCTAACTGTCTAGCTAATCCACAACGCGTTTTCGTTCAGAGCCAGCGTCACGTGACTGAAACCAGCTATAACAGAGAAGGAGGTCAGTGAGAGGCGCTTGTCACTGCCCCGGCACATCTGAAAGTCTGCACTGCACCTTAGTTAATAATGGAGGATCATACTTATGCCGAGCGACAGGAGAAGGAATCCTCGTCGCCAAAAAAAGCGACAAAGGGAATTAAAAAGGCAACGTGACCGGCGAATGCAAAAAACGAGGGTAAACATCGGGGTAGCTTTTCCCAGGTGGAAAGAGCTAATGAAGGAGAAAGACTTCACTAGAGAGCACTGTTTGTTTGAATGCAAAATACAATTTCACCGCTAGATGGGAGAAATTCCTACACAATGTCCCTTTAAGTGTTGCTATCTCCCCTCTGCATGTAGTGGTAACTGCTGAGATCTCAGCCTCAATTTTGTTACTTGACGAGTCAGCTCTGAGTGGAACGGTTGGGCCTGAGGCTTCAATTTGGCCTGCTTTGTCATTCAAGTGATCACATCCCTTGGTCAACTTCTTAAATTATACTTTAACTTTAACATAACTAGAAAAAAATGTCCTAGCCACTCATCGCTTGACAGCACCCCGCCCCATCTACATTATTTTCTAGATGAATCTATTAATCATTTGGTCTATAAAATTGACAAGGTGACATCTTCAAATGTCTTACTGAGTCTGTCCAACAGTCCAAAAATGAAAGCTATTCAGTTAACAATCACATAAAACCTTACATTTGAGAAGCTGGAACTAGAGAAAGCCCGACTTTGCATTTTAGATGAATAATACAGATGCCATTTTATGTGCATATCTTGATATCAGTAACATTTTAAAATTAATAAATCATTAACGCCCTCTAAAGCCAAAGTGGTTGAATATTTTCTTCAAACAGGAAATAGGTTTTTCGTGGCTCGTTAGATTAGGAACTTATCCTCCTGTCCTGGTTAATAATGCCAATAAAATCTGTTGAAAACAGATTCGCAGAGTGGAAGTATTGTATTTCACACCATTCATGTATTTCCAGGCATTAAAATCAACAGCATAAGCCAGTAGTATCACACTTCACCTGCTGGAGCATTTTCGCAATGGCTGATTCAAATCAGCAGGATCCGCAATAACATCTTTGCTATAAATCTCTCGCTGGGGCAAAGAGTGTAGGCATTTTTGACGATATGGAATAACACATTTTTATAGTCAATATCCTCATGGAATTGTAGCGTACAGTGTCCATAAACAGTCCTACTCCAGAGACGAATCCGTCTGTGACTTTATGACTTGCTCCATGCACTGATCTTTAACAACGGAAAGAGCAAATGTCCTTTGAATAAGCTATAGCCTACCTATAATATATTTAGTTACTAGAAATTTTAAATTACAGCTGACTGACTATATCCCTTTAATGTCCCATACATAAATTCTGTATCACAATCACTTTGAGCATATTTTATGTACAGTGCTGGAACTGGAGACCTATCTCTGTGAGCCACCTGTGTTCAAAGATGATTCACCTTTTTGACTTTAGTCAGCGTCTCTTTCCTCACCTTGTGCTTTGACGTCATCCACAGTTGGACACGGAGTTTTGATGGTGACCTCACTTGGACTGGACCGGCGCCCTGTGTTGTCTACTGCCCACAGCCGGAACCTGGACACATAAACACACGTGTACACACGTGGAAATGTTAAATGTCTGCTGCTGATTGTGAGTGATATAATTATTTTCTTAGCCAAAATTTTAATCCAGCCATTTGGATTTCCTGCAATAGAGTCTGATGAATCTGCTGTGAAATCATCATATAAGCAAACATCTTTAATGCAGCTGCTAATTTAATTAAAAGACTCCCCTTGTTGGAGGTGAGAGCCTGCATTATCAATACAGGACTTTCACTATAGCCAGACTGACAATAATTGAAAAAAAAAAATAATAATAATTTCACTGAATGAATATCTCCACCTAGTGAGCAAAACACAGACTGCATCCACCTGCAGCATCCACACAAACAGCAGCAGAGGGTAGAGAACTGAAGAAATATATCATCAGCCTAGAGACATACGTAGAGTTTTATTCAAATTGCAGCTACAGATAAAAAGATTAGCAGACTACAGATATGCACACTGCACTGAAAAGAGACCTGATGCATTTTGAGCGACAGGCTTTAAAACATTCCAACCTTTCCAACGTGGTCTTCAAAGACTTAACTTGCAGCTGGAGAGAGTATTTTCTGTGTCATGCTTACAACCGAGCATGCACATACATCTCCCCACACAATACATTTCCCCCCTACAGGGCACCAATCTCGAGCTTTGCAAGGTTCTGCCTGTATGGGAAATATAAAGAGTGTGCGGTGCCCTGAACCAGAGATGAGGCCTCGGCTCAGAGAGATGAATGAGCTGCCAGGCAGGCTGGAGAGAGCAGGAGCCCCGCTGATGATGGGATTAAAAGGGCATGTGTAGCTCAGCCCACATACATCAAAAGAGTTTGAAGAGGCTCTGTCCTCGGGCCTCTTGCCCTTTTTTCTTTGCTTTTGTTTTCCTCATGCTCTACTCTCCGCTGTACCTCCCTCTTAATCTTTTTCCTCTTTTTCTTCCTCTACCCCAAACTCTGCCTCTCCACCTTACTCCGTTTCTTTTCCTGTCTACAAAGTGTGTGTGTCTTGCTGGATAAGTGTCAGCATGTGTATGAGAACATCGGAGCATCCGGTGTGTGTGTGTGTGTGTGTGTGTGTGTGTGTGTGTGTGTGTGTGTGTGTGCTACATCTTGGTTACTGCATCACATTGTTCAGCTTCACTCAGGCACACAGAAACAGAAAGAACTATTGTGGTATTTTCTTAGAATTTCATCTAATATCTTTGTGGGGACTAAAAATGATCCCAATTCAAAAAGCTTACCTTAGCTGTATCCCTTAATGCCTAACACTGAAATAACCCCTATTACTTTGGTCAGTCAAAGTGTCACGCCCAACACATTTAGTCAGTGGTTAGTCAAGTATGTGAGGACTTCACTTGGAAATAAACTCACTCTTTCCCTGAGGACTATAAATACATGTGGAAAGATACTGTGGTCATGAACTAGTTTGGCTTATCACATGTAAATAATGCACAATCACTTAGGCCGAATATTTATTTACTCAGAAAAACTATGGTTCCGTATATTGATAAAAACCAGCCTGTATGTGTTTCTTATGGCACCAAGGTATACTTATAAGATGCACACTGCTTATGCTATCAGAATAGTTTGAAAGATATGAGCTATAATCACAATCATTTCTTTTATCTTACAGTACTTGATTTTGGGATAGAGATAGCTAAGTGAGGTGTGTTGCCTAGCTTAGCACAGTGTGTTCGTTTTTATGATAGCTAGCTTAAACAAAGCTGGAAAAGTCATGTACTATCAAAGTTTAGAATATAAGTAAATCAAAAAATTCCAGCTGTCGAATTTGCACAATGCAAAACCACTCTTCCAGTTAGCCAACTACTTGTACAAAGTCTCTGTTTCTATGTCTACACATGTTGATGGGTTAGGGTTAGGGTTAGGGTGGAGCTAGGCTAGCTACTGCATTTCCCACTGCTTACGTTGTGCTAACTTTAGCTAGGCTAAACGCATTACTAATGCACACAAATAAGTTTGTATGTTGTCATGTCGTGTCAGTGTCTGTCAGCAGATCCTGTTTGTGGGAATAAACTTTTGCTTTGACTCAATTACATACCACATACTAATTCTTTATAGAGCACAAACTTTTATCTTTAAATTGCACATGTACAGTTTAGTTTTTTAGTCATATGCTGCTTTTGCATAGGATGCACAATTTTACTGCATATTGCATATAGTTTATATAGTTTTCATTTTTTCTATTATATTTTATAATATTCTTATTTTGTGATTCTTTATTGTAGTTTTACACTTCTGTACTTTTTGCACTACATTCCCCTATGCTGCTGTGTCTGATTTGAATTTCTCCTACAGGGATCAATAAAGGAACATCTTATCTTACACCACTCATCTTTATAGTGGACTGTTTTTGCAGTTAGTATACTTTACAGCTTATTCTGAAAGGAAATGTCAATCAAACTGTGACTTTAAAATGACACTGCCAATTAAACTTCACAAAGAGAAAACAAAATGTTTTTCTGAAGATGATTTGTTCTTTATGGTCTTTCTGGAGCTGTCTCACCACAGTTACAATTACCCCTAATATTTTCCAGCTGTGAGTAACTCCTCCATTTCCTGTGTACAATGCATTTTGGGATAACAGTCTAAATCAGTAGCACGCTCAGAAATCAAGTGTTTTTAGTATAAATTCTAAAGTTTTTGAGCATTCATTTTGTCACTTTTTCATTGTAAAAACAATACATAGGTGCCTACAAAAAACCTGCATAGTATAGAAATGTAGAACAGTTTACATAATACCTGAGAATTGGCAAAATGACAATAAAGTTGAATTGAATTGAAATGCACCAACAGTCCACTAGTTAAATCTGTGCAAATAGAGCAAAGCAAACATTTGCTTTACCTTCAATCTAAACACATCTGACAGTGCAGAGGCTTCTATTAGAACTAATTTGGACTGAGATCTGGTAAGTGGTTTAAATGTGCTTTAATGCTCATGAGAAAAAAAAGAGTAACTTACATGTATGTGGTGTCGGGCTCCAGGCAGCGAATGATCATGCTGATGGAGGAGGACAGGAGGTTGGGGATGTCCCCTAACATCACACATGGAGACCTGGCCCCGGACAAGATGTCATCCACAAAGCTCAAAAGGGTTTCTGTTGCAGAGACAAAGACAGCGGGACAATCTGGATGAGAAGGTATAATTTAAAGATTATTAGACTATTTTCTCAATTTTCTCTTGTTAATGAGTTTTCCCATGAAGTGTAACTTCGCTTACTCTTATGAAAGTCTCAATTTAAATAATAACTGCTGCTATTTCAAGCTGTTATTTTGGAACAGTGCACTTTAGCATTTAGCATTGTATTTTTTTTAACTACTTCGAGGTAAGGTAAGGACAGCTCTGCTAAATAAAGTATAAACAGCACAGATTATGTCTACTTTTGAAAGGGCAAATTAATGAACCTTGACATTAGACATAGCTCTCTGCTGCACAGTAAACAGACATCTCGACAAAATGTAAAACAGATGAGCACTGCTTTGCTCTACCACAACACACAAGTAAGTACAGTGTGTACCTGTAGGGCGAGTCCATGAAAGCTAAAAGGTCAGGTGCTGTTTTACAGACTTTGAGTGCTTTTTTAAGGGCAGAGAGTCTGCCAGCGTTTCGACCATTAGTGAGAATCTCCCCCTCCAAAAGATGTCAAAAGTGTGAGAGTGAGATTTTATTGACCTAATGATCGGACACAGATACATCTGACAGCAGTAGTCAGGATATGGAGACCAGCGTGTTCAGTGTCACGCTGATACAGTTCTACATGCAGTCCATTCAGTCAACTTTACTGTTGCAGATGGATGTTGAAGGGCACCTTCACAGTGGATGCTGAGGGAGAAAAGTGTTACTCATTCACTGCCCACCCACTTTCCCCCAGCAGATTCAAAACACCAGTTTTTAGCTAAAAGTTTTCTCACCTCTAGGTCTACCTCCCCCACCTTTTGCATAATTCATGTCTGCAACTGTTTTGACACCTAAAAAAGTCTTGACTTCATCTGCAAGGTTACAAACACAACACACACATTAAGTAGGAGTCAAAAAATAAAAAAATAAAGGTGAAGTGAAGCTCTTACGTGAAACATATTTACAATATCCTTTTTTTAGTTTACATGATTAAAAAATAATCTTTGGGTATCTTTGTTTCAAACTTCCACCATTATCTACCTATAACAAAAACTTGTAAAATACATTTATAGAATATAAGATAATATTTATAAGCAATATTTTTAAAACAGATACAGTCAGGGCAGAGGTGCAGTGGTGCGTATACACAGGTATATGGTGCTTACCCACCTCTGGGGAGGGAGGATTTACTTTATTATTTATACCGACCTAAAAAAAAGCCAGATATACCAATCCATCTTGCAGGCTGTGGCCAGTCATTAACAGAGATTTTTGTCCCGTGACTTTCAACTTTCATATACATTAACCTGGAAGCTGTGAGCGGCTGGGTAAAGGGCTTTGCTCAAAGGCACCTCACTGGTGGTAATGAGGGAGGGGCAAGAGCCGCTTTTTCACTTTCCCCACCCTGATTTACCCTGCCCATCTGCCTAACCCAGTGATCTCCTGGTCACAAGCTTGCTTCTCTTACCTTTAGGCCACCACTGCCCCTAGATAATTGTGGACATGAACAACTCCAAATATGAACATCCATACTAAAACTTCTGTCAAAAATAATTACTCTAACAAAACCAGCCAGCGAACAAGAAGCAATGGCCTCCCCAGAAGGAGATGTAATGTTTGTTAACTGTGTTACATCGACAGCGGAGGCACCTCAGGGGTTCACACGTGTTGATCAGACCAATGCTGCCTCAACAGGTGCAAAGTCTCAAGTTTTAACAAGCAAGGTTGTCCATCCTCTGTGTTTTCCTCTGTGAACACACCAGTGGCAGAAAATAAAGCAGCACATTAACTGAAGTAGTGTTCGTAAGCTACAAATTTGAGGCACTTGTACTTTTCTATTTCAGGCTACTTTGTACTTCCACTCCACTACATATATTTAACAGCTTCAGTTACTAGTTACAGATTAAACCCAACAGTATATAAAGTAGTTAAAAGCTAAAATTACAACATTAAATTGACATTCATATGCAAGAAATTACAATCAATAAAAAAGAACAGTATAATAATGTAACCGCTAGCTGTTAATGCTTCCGTACCGCTATCTGAGGAGAACAGTATATCCATCTACCAACACACCACAGAATCAGATAACACCTGTTTTCACCTGAGTCCCTAACATGAGTGAGAAGCAAACCTCTGACCCCCACCTCCTCCTCCCTCCATCACCTCCTCTCCTCAGGGCTTCTTTCCTGCTGCCCAGGCCGGTGGTGACACATGCAGCTAGCTATGTTTTCCCAGCTGGCACTGCGTACGTCAAAAGGGCATTTAGCCATTTAGCCACCGAGGTGTGCCTTTCACTGTAAGGGGAAAAAGCCCTCTGCTTGAAAAAGCCAAGTCTGTGTGTGTGTGTGTGTGTGTGTGTGTGTGTGTGTGAGCGCAAAGGTGTGTGAAGTGATGGGTTGCTCTGAGGTGGTCATCTGTGACCCTCCGCTACACAAGCAGTGCCTGTCTGTGTGTATTTGTACAACATGTGTGTGTGAAGTGATGGACGCCCCCAAGGTGGTCACCTGTGCCTTTCCTCCACAAGAGCTTTCCCTCTTGTGTGTGTGTGTGTGTGTGTGTGTGTGTGTGTGTGTGTGTGTGTGTGTGTGTGTGTGTGTAAATATGTGCACTGTATGGGTGAGTGATGGGTGCTCCGAGGTGGTCACCTATGTCTTCCCTGTCGACCCTGGCCTGTGTCACCAGCTGGTAAACAGAAGGCCAAGTGCCATGGAGTCGCGGAGAAAGAGAGAGAGAGAGAGAGAGAGAGAGAGAGAGAGAGAGAGAGAGAGCCTGGATGTAAAAAGGTGTGCAGCAGCTGTCAGAGAGAGGTGTTTACCCAGCGCAGAGACTGACACACGAGTGAAAGACATAAACAGTGCCGGAGATGTAAATGAAAAGTGACATTGTGAGGCTTTGCACCACTTAGCATATTAATTGCCGGTTGGAATATCTGTCCGGCGTGTATGGAGGTGTATAAAAAGGAAACAGTGTTTGAAACCTCACTGGAGAACGCAGTTTGGAAATATGTTGAGTAATTCTCTCAATATCTGAGCAAGTTGAGCTCTAAATGGGAAATTGCAACCAACATCAATCTTCATATACAGTTACAGCCTGTCTAAGCATCGCAACATTAGCTATTCAGTTTGGATTTGTGAATATAGTAACTACAGTATGACGCACTGGTTTTTACCAAAACTGTCTCATACTGCAGGCCTTTATGGGGCTAACTAAAACACACTACACAACTCTAATAAAAACGGTCTACTGGATGTACTCTCATTTTTACAAACAAATTGGCACAAATTCAGTTTTTTTTTTGTGGCTGGAAAAATAAGAGAAAACAGCATGGGAGCTTTTTATTTTCCCTTTCTGCTGCAGTAGAGAGCAAGAAAAACACAGGCCACAGAGGGGTTAAACAATTTCCTGTGTTTGCTTTTCTGTCACATCTCACTGTAAGAGCGCTGAATGCAAGGGCTGGACACAGTGATAGATTGGTTGCCTATTTCTCCTAATTCACCTCATGACCACTGCAGCCGCACAATGTAGTGCTTTTTGAACAGTGGCTTTAATGAGCACGTCACAACTAAAACATGCTTTTTGAGCTGGCTATACTGTAATGCTTCTATAGGTTGAATCAATAAGTCTTCCAACACATGCTATACACAAAGAGAGAGTTTAAGGCCACTGTAGTCATTCCTCCTCTCCTGTATACACTGTTCATAAATACAGACTCAAAGAAGCAGGCTACCTCTTGCCTCTCATGAGCCCTGAAGCTTGAGGGTGTGTTTAGTGTTTAGCACGTAGTTTGCATTGTAAGGACAGTTATTTTCTCAGGTTGTCACGAGACTTGTGCACAATGAAGTGGGTTAATTTCAAATCCCGCTGCCTCATTGAAGTTATGTCATTTTGAATTAGAAAGCTACATTGTTTTGTTAAGTTGTAACTGGGGGACTTTGGCTTTTGCAACTCCTTCAGGCTGCTGGGGCAACTTTCTAGTCTTGATTCGCTGGGTTGGTACTAGAATGTTATTTGAAGGTTCCATTCACATTTGAGTGTGTTTGAAACGCCATAACTTTGGAAGACACCCACTTACTTTGACAAACCTTGATTGCTGAAGCTTAGTATTTAGGCAACGAAAAACTCTTTCACCGTACATAATGTATGCAAGTATTATAGGGAGATGAAGAACGTATTCTTTAAGATTTGGTTTTGTTCAGGTGACTTAAGTGAGGCTAAGGAAAAGTTGTGATCATGCTGTGATCAACTAGCGTCATTGGAATGGGATGAGATGGAAACCTTTCTCTCTGGTATCAGTCTGATGCTTTGTAACCCAACCATCCAAACCAACCTCTGCTCTAAGAGATGTTGTGGTGTTAGTCTATAAAAGAGAAAATTATAACCCAACCTGTCTGTAAGCATCCATCCGTTTTCCTTTTTCAACTTTGACCTACAACACTTGGGAATTATGGATAGGGGTAGGGAATAGGGATTAAACATTTTAGGTGAACTCACTGACTTTTTCTCCTCAAAATAAGGTGATTGAGATATTCTGACCGAACCGTTGGCTTGTGTACCTCCTGTCTGATCATCTGATCACTCATGTCTCTTGTCCTTTTGGACTCAATCTAAGCAATCTACTGAGTACAAAGTGAATGAAAATGATGGCCCGAACTACAAACATAAGACCACAAGTTATGATAAACAGGAATTCTCCTTTAGAGAACCTGTCCAGAAAATCTGTTATATTGCTCTCTTGAACCATATGGCACGTTTGGCCTCAGTCACTGATGTCAAAGCATGTATTTTGCCTTTGGCAGTGTCAAATGGACTGTGATTAGAAAATTGTTATCCAAGTACAGATGGGTGATCCATTCTCACATACTCACTTTGCTGTCTACTCTAAGTCCCAAAACCGCCTTCCTCACATGTTATAATGTTTGTGCAGGAGGAGGAGGAGGAGACTGGCTCAAAAGTGATTGTTCGTGAACCCTTTAACAA